CAGTTGCGGAGCTCGAAGCAAACCTCCGCTGAGGCCGCAGATGGACCCAGACCGCCGATCGTGACGAAAAAGCCCTGGGCCCTCTTGGTAATATTCGAGGCGGCATCACGAGCCTTTGAAGACTATCGTGACATGGACGGACGTATTCGATTCGCGAACCGCGAAAGTCGGAATGGTGGTGTCATCATGCTGTGTTTGACATGTTTGCAGCCAGACACGCTAAGATTATGTCATCAAGGCAAGTCGCGTCGACCTGCCGCGATGTTAGCGCCGGCTTCTTCCACCTTCCAAGGTTCTCCACAGCCAAACCACAACCACATCTTTGCTTCCAATTGAAATCCTCGGACCCCTTCCAAGGATACTTCTGACGACGATGACGACTGAAGGCTTACGAGTTCCATTGATGCTAACGGCTATCCAAGGTGCAACGTCTCTGCAGCTGATGTTCACACCCCTCAATTGATCATCTGGCAGTTGCCCAGTGCCAGGCAGTGGTTACTGTCATTGAGCTACTCAGGATCTCATACCATTCCCTGCGGTTTCTCAGTTCCTTCGCACTCGAATTCTTCGCAGCCTCCCTGATCAATGCTGTTTGGTCATCCAGTATAACTTCCGTGGTGGTAATCATGACGATAATGCCTGTATCCTGCAGGGTGTCGCCCGTTGACTATGATAGGCACGGTAGTTTTTCACCTAAGTCACCACGGCAGCGGTCTTTACCATGGCACTGCTGTATGACGGGTGACTCTCATAGGCTAGTCTTCCCAGGAACGCTCGAGGCGCACACTGCTCTCGCGTGCGTGTGCAGCGTGCAGCGTGCAGGGCCTTCTTATCTGCTCCAGATTGCTTCGCTGGACTTCCAAATCGCGACTAACCACACAAACTGTTGTTTAGTCAATTCCGTACGATTGCATCAACAATCTGGTATCTTTCAACCGACCTCCATTGGTGGAGTTCATTGGTACAAGTAAAGGACTTTGGTCATTGGCGGCACCAGCATGCTCTTGCTGATCGTACCGTACTTATCGCTAGGCTATTAAAGTAACAAGAGTCATCAGACTATCGAGTACTGGTATCGGTCAACAAAATTCTTGTCTGCTTCGCTCTCATTGTCATCTCTGCCATCAGTTCCTAGCTTTCCAATGCTATGACATCTCAAGCACCTGGCAACACACCTCCCGACGAGCCTTGCGTAATTTTCAACATCAGCGAAACAGAGGTGGACCCAGAGTTCTTCCAATTACCATACCCTCCAAAGCTTTCATTGAAACGACAAGTATCGGAATCATTCCTCCAAACGCGTGGCTACATCAAGAAACAAAGAAGAATACACTCGAGCGGTCGTGAGACAGCGATCGACTGTCCTTGCTTGCCACCGCCAGCGTACAACATAGCCATGACCGGGGCCAGTTCAAACTTCCACAGTGCTTACTCTACCCTGCCTACCACACCCCCTACACCCGAAAACGAAACTCATCCACGAAGACCATCACAAGTCACCGAGATCATAGAGAAGGTCAACGCAAAGCTTAGGCGCCTCTTTGGTAGTCGAAGGGGATCCGTCGAGGATATACACACATCATTCAACGCTACTGTCAGCGAGCGACCGAGTGTGTTTCATACGCTGAGTGGACCACCAGAGGAATCGCATATCCAGCGTTATCCCGGAGATGTCGTTGGGATGAGTGCGGCTTCCCTACCAAATGTAAGGGAATACTTTCATGTCAATGGCGAAGTAGGCTTGGCTGCTTCCATATCACTGCTAACTGATACACCCTTAAGACAAAGTTTCAGGCGAGACGAAGAAACACCATGCAAACACAGTCGAACTGCGACTTACACTACGATGGAGATGGCGAACTGGAGCAGCTTCATAGCCTCCAGTCTTATAGTACGCAAAGTACGAGATATGGAGGACGAAAGCGGAAAGACTCCCAATTCAGCTTTAGCGATTTGTTGCGACCTCGACGATTCAGCAAAGCAGAGAAAGGCAAGGGACGGATGGAATACGATGAAGAAGTTGAATCAACCTCTCAAGACCAACTCCTCCATACTGATCGAGAGACCTCGTCGGATCCAGTGAAGCGCCCTCTAACGGAATACGGGACTTTACCTCTTGTACCATCTGACCAGCATGCTGGCCCTTCAACGCCGTCGTCAGCTGCAGTATCACCGATGGAACAAACCATAGCCATAAGGCCCAAGCCTGCCATACCTTCAAGGCAAATGCCCACAGCAAGAAAAGTGAGCGTGCGTCTTGTACCACCTACACCTGCGCCTCCACGCGTTCAGCGGCGGTCATCGACCAGCTCCACCGCCTCCTCCTCGTCAATCTCCAGTTTCGACTCTACCAACCCCATGCCTGTAGCAACCAGCATTTTCCTCCAACGCGCCCGCGACATCGTGAACACACCCGGCACGGCCACAATCGAAGTAGGAGCAAACGGGCACTCTCAACCCATCTCCATCCCATCTTCCCACCACAACAGCCGCCGCTCGTCCATACTCCCAGAAGGCTCAGCACGACCTCTAGACGACTCACCCACTCTGCCTCCCTCCCTCACCTCATCAACAGCGGAACTCCTCCGTCATGGCGACCGTCCAGATACAGCACCTTCTTCACCCCCGCTCGATCCTACTCTTGTTCCTTCGCTGGATACCATGCAAACCCTGCATCTAGGCCCGCCTCAACGAGCTCTGCTCCAGCGATCGGTATCGAGTAGTTCATCACGCATGTTCCACGTCTCCGTCGAGCATCTTTCTACGCCTACGCCCGCACAGCCCGTCTCGAGATTCAGTGCGTGTTCGTCTCTGGCCAGCAAACCTGCAGAACCCATTTCGCGGTTCAGTGCGTGTTCTTCTCTGGCTAGCAAGTATAGTTCAGCCGTGGAGCATGTAGATGATACGCCGGATTTTAGTATCACGCATCCTGCGCCTCCAAGCCCTGTTCCCTCTTCCTCGCCGGGACTGGAAGCGGTACCATCGCCTGTTAAGCGACGGACTGGAAGTTTGGAGGGGAGTCAGGATCTACGTGCTGTGTATATTGAGCAGGGAAGAGCGAGCGTTATAACCTGTCCTCCGCGACAGCGAAGTCCGAGGAAGAGTCTACAGGGGAGGTGTTGGTGGGACGAATCGCCCCCAAAAGTGTATCTCTAGGTTTGTGTGGTGTTATTCGGGTTGTGCCTCTGGTTCATATGTAAATTGAACCTATCACAGTGCATAGTCACGTAGCACATAGGAAGACATAGTAGTTCCTCATCCACGACACCTCGGCGTTCAATGTATTACAACAGCATACTAGATAATGCTACCTCTGCCCCTAGGGCCAGTGAACCAACGTCCCATCACCATCATCCATTACAAATATACGCCATGAACCCCATGCAGTACAACCAAAGACAAAGCCTTGCCAGGCTGTCATGTAAAATGAGCGAAAAGGCCCAAGCTGGGTATCGAGCTAACCGAAAGGACTGGTGATGCTTTTTATGCAGAAGACGCTATGCATGAAGAAAGGACAGAAGATGGACGAAGCTTAGATTGCGCGGCGAGATTGTGTGGTCCTAGATTTTACAAGAGGACGGCGAAGCCGAGGAAGACGCTGCCGAAGACGGCGGCGAGGCCGAGGCCAGCGTTGGGCATGGAGATGGAGCCAGCGCCGCCTTGGTCGTTGGAGCCTCCGTTGTTGTTGCTGTCGCTAGAGCCGGTCTCAGAGGCACCGCCGAAACCGGTCACGGGAATGGTGTTTGAGGCGGAGCCGTCGGTGCCGGTGGCGGCGGCGGTGGAGGCCATGGTGGTGGGGAGGGAGGTGTTGCCGCGGTACGGGTCTTGAGCTCCGCAAGGGTGGTCCTCACTGTTGTCATGTTAGTTGTGTTTGTGATGAGTGACTGGATAGAACGTACCGGCAAGCGCTCTGGCAGCTGTTGTCGCCGTTGCAGTTCTCGACGCAAGTGTTTCCCCATTGTTGGCAGATGAAGTATGGCAGTGTCTGGGAGTACTCTGTGATGTTGGGCGCGACACCGTTCTCACAGACGCAGGTGTAGGTCAAAGCGTCGGAGTCGCAGTCGTTCTGCTCGGTGGTCATGGAGTTGATGCCAGGCTGCTGGAGGCAGATGAGCGGGCATTGGGCCCTGTTCTGGTCACACCAGTAATCTGGAGGATGTTAGAGGACGCGTCGTGGGTCGAATGATAACTTCTACATACCCCTAGTAGACTGCTCAACCGTGTCGGGGTCGATGGTGTACGGGTAGTTCAGCTGGGGGGTGTCTTGAGCAGCGACCAGGCCAGTGAAGGCGGCGATGCTAAGGGCGAAGACGGAACGCATGTTGATGTTTGGGGAGGTGTTTGTTGACGGAGGATGAAGCGAGAGTATTAGATGATATACGGTCAGCGACAGACGGTGGACGGTCAAATACAAAAGTAAACCTCAACAGCGAAAGTGATGAAGAGGCTGGAGGGAAAGGCGGCGTCCGATATATAAAGGGAGGGATGTGTCGACGGGAAGTAATGAGCTAGCGGTCGTTCGAGATAGGAAAGTTCACGGTCCGGTACGTGCACCCCCGCCTACCTTCAGCCTACCTTCTCGCCCGGGACGATGCCTGTCGGGGACGGGTTGCCGTGACTCAAGCCATAGTACTGCGGTGGAGTCGGCGTGGAAAGGGCGGCATTCCGTGGAAGATGGCAGACTGCGTGATGGAAGTTTGGCATTAATCCCTCGGCCGGACAGGGATGGGATGGACGTGTGGTCGTATTGGCCACTGGCTGCAGCGACTAGTCGCTTCTCAGGGTCTCGCATCCTAGTCGGCTCTGCGCATCATTCGGTTGAGACGAGCGAGGCCAGCGCCGCCAATTCTCCAGACATCGTCAACAAGACACTAGACGCGACTGCATCTGGCTGCATGCACCGGCGAGCATATCTACCCCTCACACACCCACGCGGCATTCTAGATACCAACCGCCCTCCCGTTTGACGCGCCACCTGCCCAGCCATCTCCTGTAAATGGATGGAGCCGGCGAGCTTTGAAACTGGAGACCCGTCTTCGTCGCCAGCCCGAGATGGGCCAACCCCCGCCACCGTCACTGTGGTCCCACCCTACTGGCAATCCCACCAGCGCAATGCCTCGTATCTGAGCAGCTACTCTGCTGACAACGGCCGCCCCACCCCCATCGGCCTCGAGGACCATACGGATGAGGACTCGGACCACTGCAAAGTCCTCTGGGCCAAGGGTGTCACGATAGATGATTACGTTGTCATCAGCGGGCCGTCACCGGGCTTTGGAGCTTACGTCGTCTTTAATTGTACGGTCGAGACACTGGATGTAAGTTCCCAGCCGCATGGAGATGCGCTAGCCTGCCCGGCGATGTCCTCGCAGCCAATCATCTGCGCGAGATTGTTTTTCAAAAAATGGTTTCATGCAGAGGGCCCGTGGTGGACTGCCATCTCCAAGTGATGAACCATCATGCATATGCTAACTGTGACAGGGTGGTCCCATGAAGATACGCAAGAGGTTGGCCATCTTCTGTCACTTTCGATTCCCTCTGCTGATCGTACCAGATACTCCGAGTTTGAAGATCTGCACACCAAGCTGCTCCAGACGTTTCCTCATGCCGCGGGTTCCATGCCGCACTTCCCACCCAAATCCGTAATATGTAAGTCACATGGCCGCCTGCAGCATCACTCCACCAAACAATATCGTGCTAACGCGTCGGGCATAGCTCGCTTTAGGCCCCGTTTTCTGGAAAAGCGGAAACAAGGACTCTCGTACTTTCTCAAGTGTGTTTATCGATAACAAAGCTAGCGCATATCGGCTGACTATTAATAGTTGCGTTTTGCTGAACCCGGAGTTTGCTGGGTCGCCCGTCTTGAAGGACTTTCTCTTCTCGTGATCGCGTGGCTTTGAGGTTGTATTGACACTGACGTTGATGTGTGAGTGGCATAAGAGTTGGATACGTTGTTGTTGATGATTGTGTGGTGTCAGGGTGTGCCCAGCTGCCATGCAAGTGAATCGTCATTGACATTTCTCAATTGCTTAATCTCTCAATCTCTCAATCGCACATACAAGGAAATGACCTCCTATAGTTAGTTCTAGCGTTCTAGCGAAGCGTTTGATGTTCAAGTTGATGTGATGTCGCCCACTCGTACTGATTGGCTACCAACGTCAGTGGCGCTACGCTTCCAAGTATCTCACATGCGCTGTACTGCAATTCGTTGAATAATCTTCTGATGTACATGGCGATATCGAGATGGGAAGGTCTGCTATAGGGCTTAATCCAACCTCATCCATATTTGCAGTGTCTGGGTGAGGCGTACGGGAGCGCCGTGGGTGCAGCAGCTCGTTTGGCAAACTGCGCGGGCTCTGCCACTCGACGACCCCCTAACGGCTCGCGTTTTGGCACATCTCAGCGCGACATCAATGGCAGCTCCACAATGAATAGCTGAAAGATGACCCAGCGAATCGCGAATGATCTCAAGTCTGATCACTACCATGGCCAACGCCGTTCGGCCTTCGCTGCTGCGGAGCTCGAATGAACGGCAGACCAGGCTCAACTTCCTGCCCGTGTCGCGCGATGACGCCCACCCACAAGCCCAGCGCAACCACAACCACGCGCCCGTCGCGACCAGACGGGCCTCGAAAAGCGGCCCTCTGCTTGCGCGCGCCGACGACGACGGCGCCGTCAAGCCCGTCGCCCACACGCCTGCAAAACCTCCGCCGCCTGCGCGCACCAGCAGCAGGAAGCGGCCAGCCACTGCCCTCGAGCCCGACGCGACCGACACGAGACCGCCGACCAAGATTACCGTTACACAACCACATGGCGAGCTGCTGCGCATCACCAATGGCGTCGCCGCGCCCCTGGGCATCGACGCCGACGACGTGCCCTCCGCGAGGTCCACGCCCCGGCCTGGCAGCTCCGGCAAGCTTGCTGCGCCCCCAGCTGTCCCCGCCCCGGCGTCCACAGCGTCCTCCACAACCACAGACAAGAGGAGCCTGCGGAGCCACGATGGAGGCTCGCGGCTGAAGAGCGACCTCGCCGTCTACTTTGCCAACTACGACGACATCATTGCCGGCGTGCCCAAAGAGGATGGTAGGTCACTGTCCCTGTCACATGTCACGATATAGCTCTGATCGCGTGCAGAATTTCTCGATGTCGACACGCCCATATACATCTTCGACGAGCCCATCAAGGCCAAGACTCCAGAGCCCCCGCGAAGCTCAGTAAGCCCGACGCGGTCGCGGAAAGCACGACACTCGTCCCCACCGCGCCATGCCTCGGATCCGTCAATACTCCCGTCCCAATCCTCGACCACATTCACAGTGCTCAACTATGCCTCCATAGCCAATGCCATCTCCCACAATGACGGCGAAGACCCGCTCGCCGACTCGGTATTTTTCACACAGCACCGACGTGCCGAGCGCAAGGAGAAGCAGCTGCGGAATATCGAAAAGGAGCGCGCCATGCACGAAAAGGTGCAACTGGAGAGACTCCTCGACGGACTGCAGGGCCCCGACTGGCTCAAGGTCATGGGCATAACCGGCGTGACAGACGGCGAGAGAAAGGACTGGGAGGCGAAGCGCGACTACTTTGTCCGGGAGGTAGAAGCCCTCGTCGACAAGTTCCGCGTCTGGAAAGAAGAGGAGAAGCGCTTGCGTGCTGAGAAGGAAGCAGCGCTCGCCGCGAGGGAAGAGGACGAAGAAGAGGATGGCGAAGAAACAGAAGACTCAGATAACATTGTAGTCCGCAGCCGCGACCCTCCACCACCACGACAGCAACCCAAAGAGCCCGAGCCACCGAAACCACGGCGGCCACCACGTCCCCATGGCTTCCTCCTCCCTTTTGTACCTCCCGAACCCGCAGCGCCGTTTAGCTCCTTTTACGCGAAACCACACCTCCGCGCCGCAGCCCTCGGAAAGCATAGACACGGGCGCAACGCATCCGCATTCGGCCAGCCCATACCTGAGTTCGCAGAGAAGGAGTTTGAGCTCCCGGAAGGTTTCATAGACCCGCAATTCCTAAAAGACAACGCGCGACAGAGACGGAGACGGAAGAGAGAGAGTGGTGTGAATACAGGGGCGGGCGCGAGTGCAAATTAGTGCTTTTCTTTCTTACTTACAACATGGGCCGGGGTTTCCAAGATTCTATACCCCTTATAAATACTGTCGAGCAAGTCGAAAGCTAGGGTTTCTGTGGCGTTTTTTGATAAGGCATGGGATTTGGAGGTGTGGGACTGAGTGAGGGTCTCAAGCCGAGTGTATACTAGCTGTGGAAATGGAATGATAAATCGTTCCGTTCTGAGATTGGGTGTTGCGGTGCTGGCGCGTGTGGACTGTGGGGTTGGCAGTGAAGAGATTGGTCTGTTTGAGGTGCCTACCTCTGTCGTTTGGCATAGTGCTGGTGCTGCTCATCATCGTCCAGTCTTTCGTCTTCCAGCCGCGGGTCTCACGTGCTCGGATTCCAATTTTGCGTATATAAATCAGTCTTTTCTGCATGTCTCCTCTTCTTCTTTTCAACACACAGCCTGCGGGCTTTTCTCCAAAACACACCAATAATCCGCGCATGGCTGGCTGCTTGGCCTGCCCTCTTCAACAAAACCATATCAAGGAACGATGATGACTTCTGGCCTGGTTCTTCTTCCTTCGAAACGATCTTCTTTTCAAAACACATCGTCACCTCTTCATGAGACTGTTTGGAACCTCCTTCTCTCCTACTTGAGAACCAACAAAAAAACCTCACCCAATTTCCATGTGGTGCTTTTCGGATCCGCTCCTTCCAGTGGTACGACAGGAAGACATCACCAAAATTCATCATAACAGAATCGATGTCTCGTTCCTGGTCCGCGAGTTCAAAAACTCCAACGTCTATGCCGTGTTGCGAATTACCTTCAAGTGTTGCCCAATACACATGGGTTGTGCACTCGCATCATTTTGGGGAACTCATGGTTTGCCGCCTACCGAAAAGAAATTCGCATCCGGATATGTGCTCTGGCTGTGTTTGTGGTCTTCAAATTCCAAAATAAGATTAGTGAAGACATATGGAGTGCTCATGTCGCCGTCCGCTCGATTGTAGGAAGGACGTGTTCGGGATCACTGGGTACTGGCTTAGCAGGGTCCACGGATATATAAACCCACCGTGTACCTTTCGGTCTCTCTTCTTCATACCACATCTTCTTCTTTATTACCAAAATAACGGCATTAGAATTGGATGACTGTGCGGTCTCCTTCTGCTCTCTCCAAAATATGAGAGTGAACAAAGTCATGGCTTCCGCTGTTCCGCCCTGTTCTGCAAGACCAAAACCTGATACCAGAAAGGCGATGCTTTGGTCTTTGTCTCCTGTTGTTTGTTAACAAATGAGCGTCAAACCATGAGCATGTCCTCCGCTGGTGTGACTTCGCTCTTACTCAAATTCGTTATCCCAGGCAGCTATGTGCTGAGTCGCCCGCGTAGGTGTTTCGTATATCGAGAACCTTGACTCCACTCTCATGGAAGCTTACCTGTGCAGCGTTCGCTGCGTGTTTCGTATTGGACAAGTGGAAATGGGTCGCTCTTCGCATCGAGCATGTTGCGTTGCGGTCTTTATGGTGAACGGTGATCAGTGAAGGATGCTTGAGTGATGCATCTGGGCGATTGCTTCATTCGGAAAGAGCCAGATCATCTCACACTCATCATTGCTAACGCCTGAAGTTTACGATGTCGGTGCTGTTCGCCGGTAGAGGTGCGCCTGCCCAATGCGGAAGGGGCAAAGGTCGTCAAATCCTATGCAAGGTCTGGTTACGCGTGAGAGGCACATGTTCGTTTCCTTTGATCTTGACACGATCGAATGGGGAATCCACAGGGACTTCATTCGCCATTGATGTAATTCACATTTGTGAAGTTTGCTCATGCGAAGATATACCTGGGTAATCAGCAGCTTAATGCCCGCACAGTCTGCGTACAATTGGAATTCTCTAAAATTGAAGGCTAGCCCCTGAGGCTGACCTCGCTGCATCTGCAAGAGATACATTCATTTGGATACGTGCATGACTTCATCTGCACATATCTGGCTTGGTTTCCAAAATGCAGTTTGGTTGTGCTCGCTTGTGGAGGGGCGCGCCTACTGAATGTGGAAGGGACAACAGTGAAGAGATCTCAGACCTCAGAACACTCACTCTCTTCCACCCACACCCACATTCTCACCACCCCCATTGATACGCTAATGGAGGATTTCCTCGCAGATGTCGAGGCGTACCGGCTCGAGCGCGAGTCGGCGCAACGACAAATAACAAACGCAATCCGGGACGCTCCCGAGCCCGGTCCAGGGTATCCGTCTCATGATGACCTCACAAAAGCCTCACGCCTGATGGGTATTCTAAGACCGATAGAAGACGACATCAAGACCAGAGCAAAGGTCACAGAAACAGCTGATCTGATAGCGGCACACGAGCGAGCACTCAGCGAACAGAAAAGTTCGCAGGAGAGTGAACGCGCAATCGCATTCGAAGAGCAGAAGCGTCTGCTCGAATGCGATCACCATAATGCGCTTCAGAAACAGAAGCAGCAATCTGACGAAGAACGAGACAGCGTTCTTCAGACACAGAAACAGCAGCTCGAGATCGAACATGACAACGCGCTTCAGGAACAGCAAGCGCAGTTCGAGCAGATTCAGAATGAGCTGCAAGAGGACAAAGAGGTTGCAACATCTGCCTTCAGAAGAGAAGTAGAAAGCAACGATGCCATCCTGCGGGAGTTGCTCGATAGGATCACGAGAGCTAGCCAGTATCTCAGCATCGAGCCACCAGAAGACATCGAGCTCAGCTGCAAGGTAGAGCAGACCGCTCTCCAAGGGAAGCTAACAGCCTCCAGAACTTACCGAGCAGTATTTGAGGAGTTGCGGTGTCGTCTCAGCATTCCTCTAGAACAATTGCCATCGTTTGAGGAGCTTCTTCCTCAAGAGCATAACGATGAAGCTACGTCACTTCTCACTAGCCAGGTGGACAGCACAGTCCAAGCCTGTGACAATACAGTCGACGCAGAGCAGCGCCGCAGTACCAATCTCCCATGCGCATCGCTCATCTCAAAGATGAAGGTCACAGAGCAGGTCAGCAGCACCTCCAGAGATATGAGAGGGCAGGTAATAGCGAACGACAAGTTGTCGGCCGAGGTCGTCACAAAGTTAGAGGCGTGCTTGGTCGCGAAAGACCAACACATTGAAGCCTTAACAAAGCGTCTCAGATTGCAGACGCAGGTGCTGGACGAGAGACACGTCCTACTAGAGCGGCTAGCAGATGCAGCTGCAGCATCAGTAGGGTAGAGTCAAGATGTCTTGCTGGTGCACTCGTGTGCGAAGAAGACCCCGTTCGTAGCTCAATTTGATAAACATTGATCCCATAGCATTCCTATTATGCAATATGAGCATGATACCGTGTCTAGTAATTTTGATGTGAAGAAACAAGTCTGACGCACCAACACACCCTCGCCCTCCCCCTTCACGTCTTCATGCAGACGTCTCTTGATACTCAAACCCGCGTAGTTGCATTTCCAACCCCACTCCAGCCATCTCAAAAACTCTTCTCAGTTCAACTGAGGCTTTGCAGTCCATCCGCTCGTACAATCTACCACTTAACCCAACAGCTTTCACCATCTCTAGTCCTTCTTCGACGGTGACAATGACGCCGCGCTTGATCTACTGCACCCCTGGCCCAGGTATACCTTAGTCCTTAGATCTTCGAAAGTGCTTTTGCGGATGAGAACCTTGCGCACGACGGAGTTGATCATACAGTAACTATCATGGTCCATGATGGAGGGGTTGGCGCGGAGGTTAGATCTTGTGTCTGAACAGTGCTTAGACGAAAACAACACACAACTCTATATACAACAATACAACTAATTTGCATTGAGCGCCCGTTCCGATAGAGATAGCACTAATCTCTCCACTACAATAACATGAGTGATTTCGCGGGTCAGGACATTGTGCACATACCAAAGCTTCTTCAGTGTACTCTTGGTTCGCCTAGGATGGAGTATATATGAGCGAGCTGGCTACATGGGTGGTATTCCCAGCAACGGGTTGATTGTGACATGTGTTTGCAGACTACGATGCTAATCACCGGTTGTCCTCGAGGTGCTGTTGATGAGGTTTAGAACTTCAATCAGACTCTGGACCACCTGTTCAATCACTGAAAATTGCATGTCGACCTCATAGTACACTATGAGCCACCTATTCGATCACTGAAAGTTGTATGTGGTATTCTGGCCGTTCACGAAATCTGCGTATATTCTTAGGCTCCACATGTCCATTTATAGGCCCAGAGGATTGCTGGCCGAACCACCCCCCTTACCGGATCCTCCAGAGAGACCAGGCACACCTGGCCTGCTAGCCATGGATGCCATGCCTCCTACGCCACTTGTGCTCAGGCCGAGAGGATTCTTGTTCGTTGTCGACCGACTGCCGGGAGCGCCAGTGATGTCTTTGAGGGAGTTGCCATACTCGCGGACCATGTCGCCCCAAGTGCGGGATGAGTTCGCAATACTATGATATGTCAGTCAAGGGAACTATTGCAGGATGTGATGTATTACCTCGCGCCAGCGCCTCGCCCTGCTCCAGCAACACCACTGCCTGCCGCTGTCACGACTGCACCGGCAGCATTGCCGATACCAGTCGTTGCGGCGCCGACAGCACTTCCAATGCCTGATGATGCGGCACTAAGACCTTTGTTGATCCAACCTTGTTGCTGTGGCTGTTGAACAGGCTTCTTTGCTGGTGCTGGTACAGCTTTCTTTTGGCCGACAGCTGTGACGGGCTTCTTCGCTGCGACATTTGTGACGGGCTTCTTAGGGGCCGTGGTCACAGGCTTCTTCTGCATGGCGGTGTTGACAGCCTTCTTGGGAGGCTGAACGGCGGGCGCCTTGACAGGTGCTTTCTTGACTGGGGCTGCTACTGGTGTCTTCTTCGCCGTCGACGTGACGGGCGTCTTCTTGGTGCCAATGGGTTGCGCGACCATGGTGAGACGTTGATTCAGTGCTTTTCTTAAGGTTGCTTGGGTTGTATCAAGTGTATTGAGTCTAATCAGGTCTTAGATCGGATATTGAGTATGTATGGAGATATCTGGGGAGCATCTCGACCCAATCTCTTTTGATGCACAGAAAGTTGGCAAGCTGTTATGCCTGCCGCACATGTGGCGCAGATGATGTCAGGCACGGGAACGTGGGGCGCGCTTGCCCCAGATGGAATTAAGGTTGCCTTAGCGTGACCCGCGCGCGAAACGTCGAGACCCTGGATCCATGTTTCGCATCGTCAACACTTCGATGTCTGCCAGATGGCACCGCCGTCCCATCTCTCTATACAGCCCAATTCTACGTCTCGCTTTGTTTAATCATTTTCATCTTCTCCGCTATCTGAATTGTGATCGTATCTGGCTGATAGGCCTTCCAAACCTCCGGAGTGTGGAGCTGTGAATGTGAACGAACACCCACGCTCACCGCACGCGACCCTGCCCGCCATGAGCCGCATTCACCTGTGGTAAACAACGTGGAACGTCATAACAAAACTGTGAGTGCGATTTGTCTCCCAACCACCAACATGCCGCAATAACACCACAACGCCATGCTCGGCGACGAAGCGGTGTTTAAATTAAAGCGGTCGGTGAGCGACGGCGACCATCTCATCCCTATGGGAGAGGTGACCCCGCCTCGCTCACTGGACAGCACACCGGCGACACGATCCAGTCGCTCCTTCTCGATTTCCAAGCTGACAGACTCAATCAAAGGGAAGATAGCCAACTCATCCCGCTCCTCCCGCTCCTCTCGTACCCCTTCCATCGACAAGCGCGATATCTCGAGTCCGATATTAGACCACAGAAGCCCGCTGTGCCCGCCTACGCCGAAGCCAAGGCTTGCCATTGCCCTCCCGGAAACGCCTGTCCCGCGACGACCTCTATCACGATCCAGTCCCGGAACCATCAAGCCTGGCCGCACGAATTCTACCGCACGACACTCATACTCTGCCTCCGACCCTACCAATTACATATCGCCCGGTCGACGTCCACGCCAAACCGATCGCCCGCCCCCGCCTCTACCAATCGCAACCAGCTTCGAGAGCACAACCGGAACCCTAGTGGACAGTCCGTTGGAGCGCATAGCAGAGTCGCCCTTCGAGCCGCAAGAAGACGCCCCAACCGAACGGCTCCACCTCGACAAAGTATACAGATACCTCAGAGACATGGAACCTGCAAGACTGCAGCCGCCCATGATGGGTGGCACCAAGGGGCGTGCAATGCAGCAAGCAAAGGATATGGAGCTTCTGGTTGCAGAGAGAGCCAAGCGGGGTGGTGAGGAACCACCGCCATACGACTTCTACGAGCTTATTGGCAAGGGTGCATATGGCCGCGTCTACAAAGGGTGGGTATCATGCAGCGAACCCCAGAACACTCGCTGACACTACAAAGAAAGAGTCGAAATACCGGCGCGCTCGTTGCCATCAAGATCATCGAGATCGACAAGGTTGACTACGAGGAGATGACACACAAGAACCTTCAGGACACACTTAAGGAGATCGATATCCTGCAGCAACTCAGAGATAGCAAGGCAAGACCCTACGTCAACATCATCGAGGAGGCCAGGCCTGTCCATAACGAACTCTGGATTGTCAGCGAGTATGCCAGTGGTGGTAGTGTCAACACGTTGATGAAGCCTACGGCAATGACCAAGGACCCTGGACCTGGACTAGCGGAGAAATTCATCATACCCATTGCGCGTGAATTGGCGCAAGGTCTCAAGTACATCCATGAAGCTGGTGTGCTGCATCGAGATCTGAAATGTGAGTAGTGCTGGTCTTTCCGTCCTCAATCTTTGCTAACCAAATCCAGCCAACAACGTTCTTATCCTCGAAGACGGCCGGGTACAACTTTGCGATTTCGGTGTCTCCAACACCCTGGAGCCGGAGAGATCGAAGCGCTCGACTATCGTCGGTACACCATTTTGGATGGCGCCTGAACTGCAAAAGGAATGGGTCAAGGATGCGGACCCGCACAGCTTGATGCAGCCCAAGGAGATATCCTACGGAAACGAGGTTGATATCTGGGCCTACGCTTGCACTGTCTATGAGATGGCCTGCGGTTATCCACCGCATCACAAGATTGGGCAGTTCGACTTGCCAACGGCGGGTGTTCCTGTGCTTGAAGGTGATCGCTTTTCCCAAGAACTAAAGGATTTCCTAGCTTTCGTCTTCCAGCCAGAGCCGCAGGATCGACCAACACCCGACCAGATCCTGGAGCACCCATACCTTGCGGACACTACTAAGATGTATCCGACTGTGTCGCTCGTCAAGTTGGTTGAAGACTATTATGTCTGGGAGCAACAGGGCGGTGCACGCCAGTCGCTCTTCAATCCGTACGGTGCTCAAGCACCAGACCCGCTTGCCCCAGAGGAGGAAGACGATGAAGACGATGATTGGTCTTTCAACGTATCAGAAGAATTTGAGCAAGAGCATGCACCACAGTTTGGCGATCCCTTTGCGGGTGGGGCTGGACAGGGCTTCAACGGAATGGGTCTACCACCTATCGCAGATATGGGACGTTTCGAACAGCTCCAGGCTAGGTTCAAGGAGGAGTCTATCGTCCGAGGACAGAAACGTCTGAATAAGCTATTCGATACGAACACGACACCATACCGGTACAGCGCAGTCGATATGCCAGATCCTCCGAATGGTCGCCCTCCCTCCGACTTGGTTCTCCGCGACTTCAATCCTGGCGCGCCCAACCGCGAGACCGTCATTGACTTGGACTTTTCGATGCCATCAGCAGATGAGATACCCAGTATCGATCTGGGTGAGGTGCCGACCATCCGCGCGAACCGCATGAAGAGCATCATACGTGAGATGGAGGAAGAAGAGGAGCGCCGGGATGCTTTCAATGAGGAAGATGAGATGACTAAACGAGCCACGAAAGACTGGACCTTCCCCAGCATGAATGACGAGAATCGCAAGACCATGGAATGGTCCTTCCCCTCGGAACAACCAAACCGAAAGACGATGGAGTGGTCGTTCCCTGCTGAACAGCAGCCTAATCGCAAGACAATGGAATGGTCTTTTCCGGCGCAACCTCAGAAGCCAAATCGACGCACAGTAGAATGGACATTCGACGCAGCGATGGCGGAGGCCAATAATGAGCCCAGGAATCGCGCATCAAATCGGATCTCTCGACGACGCGAGACGAAAGAGTGGACATTCCCCAAGCAGGACGATAATCGCAAGACTCAGGACTTTGCCTTTCCCATGGGTAGCCCGAAGGAGCCACCGCGCGGTCAGCACGCGAAGACAGACTCATCTTCACCAGTCCTCGCATCTGGTTTCCAGCCAACCCTGCGACACGCGCAAACAGCGCCTGTTGACCCTATTGATGACTATCCCGAGATGATCAGCTCTGCGCCTGGATCTCCTCTTCGTTCGTCCATGATTGACCTTGATATGGCAATGGTGCAAGACTACCGTCCATCCACATCTGGCTCTGATATTGTCACAGCGGGAATCGACCGTATGAATGACAACCCATTCAACCTCGAGGACCAGGTACAGCTATCACAGAATAACCATCGCGCTTCGTTCCACATGAAGTCGCAGTCGGAACCGAACCAGGCCGTGCCGGGCTTATTGACACCTCAGCAATACGATGAGCAAGGCCATCCCACAAACCAGGACCCACACCACCCCAGCATGCACGCTCGAGGCGTCAGCTCAGCGAGCCAGGTACAGTCACAGACGAAACCAGCACCCAGCTCCGGCCAATACCATCGCGGAAACCAGCGCTCTCAGCAGATCATCTGGGACGGCTGGTCGCATAACATGGCCTACGGACTAAGCAGCGACGACCAATCACCTCCCATGAGTGTGACAACCGACACCTCGCTCGAAGAAGAAGACGTAGACGACCTCTGGGACACATTCGAGCGCCTCAACCTCGCCGCACAACGTCGTCCGATGGGCCAAGCTTCCGCCCCTCTCCGTTCCTCGCGCAGAACCGACTCTACATCCACAACCCTCACTTCCACCACCTACACCCTCGACTCCGACACCGACGACTCGTACCACCACGGCAACACTTACTCTTCCTCTTCAGACTTTGATCAGCAAGACGCCCCGCGCTACAGCCGCAAGTCCACCACCGTCAGCGTCGGTCCAAATGGGAAGCCGCTCGTCGATTTCCCTGTCCCAACTGGGCCTGAAGTAGAGGCCCTGTTGGGTGTGGACATGGATGCAAGGGTTATGGCTGATATGCTGCTGAAGAGTGCGGTGGAGTTGAGGGATGGCACGAGGGCTAGTAGGGACCTGCTGAGGGCGATGCGGTTACAGGATGTGGAAGGCGAAGGCGAGGATGATGATGAAGGTGCGGATGAGGAGATGAGAGGGGGGACTGTTAGGCTGAGGGGACCTGCATGATTTACGAACAAATGATGTCGGTTATGGGAATGAGGCGTTGGGCGACAGTAAGCAGTCTTTGTTGGATGGAGTTTGGCTGGATGTCTGATCGTAGGGTTTGTGATGAAATTTATCTGGACTGTCCCTTTTTTCGCTAAGGAAAGCCGAGAATGGGATACAATCCAATTGAAACGTGAAGAAACGTTCAGCCTGCCCTCCATCATGGACCATGATGGTCACTGGATGATCAACTCCGTCGCTTTGGAGGTTGATGTTAATGTAATAATGGGATTGGGTGGCAGGGTCCCGGGGTCGGTTCGGGTTATCTTACAGGGTTCGGTGACGTCACGCAAGTCGCGCAATGGGGAAGCCGACGCAACACCACCTGGGCATCGATTCAGTGCACTCTCCTTTCAATTTCAACACTAGTACACGTTTTTATGAATCTATTCGTAATGATATCAAGGTTCCAGTCGCTTTGATTTTCGCGTTCAGATCGTCAGACATTCGCACACCTGGGCAGCCTCCGTGTCAGACCGCAGCCAAAGGCTCGCCTTCCCTCTCTACCATACACGCTTGTGCTCCTCGCATGGATATGGGAGGCCACGGCTGTAGATATCTCTCTTTACACCCAGTGAGTAGATTGTTGCATCGGGCTGACAGCGTCAGATTGGGTTACGGGTTCTGAAGGTACGGCGGAGAGTGGCTGATGTTCCACAGCCTCGTTACCGGAGCTGCCGGATATGCGAGCGGCTTCCTCTGCGCCGATCGTCTCTTCTGAAATCGAGTGCATGGTATCACCGATGTGAGCAGTCGACATCTTCGCTCCGTCCGCCAAACATGGACGGCCAGTTTGGTTGTCGCGAAGTGACCACGCCATGCCTCCGGTAACAGTATGCTGGACTCCAACAAGAACCAGCGGCAGTCCATCCTTGTCGTTCTCCTGGTACAACTCCTTGTCAGACTTGACGATGCGGTTCTCGGAGTTCCTCTCGAAGAGAGCAGCCGCTAATCCGGGAACACCAAGCCGCGTCCTTACTTGATGAACGTCCTGGTCCGCTACCATCCAAGCCATGATGGCGATCCCTTTCCGAGAGCTGCGAAGAACAGGTTTGCGAGAACTAGTAGCCAGACAGCAGCGACAGGTACGCTAGTCATGATCTTCCGGGCTCGAGTCTGCACCACGATACTATCCGCTGGTACTGTATATACTGCCAGAGGTGTAGCAAAGAGCACACTCATTGCGATTTCATAATTCGATATCCAGGATTTCAATGACACGGGTGGGTTCACCACTCGCAATAGCTCATACGTGAACTGTGCTGTGAAACGAAAGAAACCAACAGAAGGAAGTATAGAGATGCTTGCCACTGTAGCATTGCTCTCTTTTGCAGTCAGACTCTTGACCACGCCGCCAGTAGTGCTATACGTAACATCATGAACTGTAATATCGCATTAGTTGAAGTCTGCTACGGTCATCAGATGCTTTCGAGACGGGGCCACATACCTGTACTGTTGCATGCAAGAAACATGTAGTAACCTCCTGGCAGGACCCAGGCTATGTCGATCATATCTAGCGGTAGGCTCGAAAGCTCACTGACTTTAACGCTTGCTGTCCACCTCCATGTGCTTGGAACCATTTCGGCCGCCTCTTGGTCTGTAGTGTTGCTATACGTCGCCATTAGGCCAGGCACATCAAACCTTTTGGTTAGAAAAGGTGTTCCCTGTTCTGACAGGTATTTGTGAAAATCGAAGAAGGTATATGCCAAGAATGCGCCATTCGTTACTCCAGAAAAGTCAATTGGAGAGCCACGAGCGATGGAGCAATTGAAGGGTGAATTAATGCCACCATAGCCATTGGATGCTTTCGGATTTACCTCGAGATCGCAAGCTGTCGCAGGTATTGGAGTACAACGCGAGGACAGGGCGAATGACGTCGCCTTCCAATCCGCAGCTGAGGGCGACGTTGTTGGGCCCACAACCGCATACTTGGTCCCGGTCTCCTCGGTGAAATTCATGATGAACTTGCCGTAGCCTGCATGTTGTACGGCATCAACGTTAGACAGGTTGTTGGACAATAGATAGTCGCTTGTTAGATTCATCGTGCAACCCCAAAAGTTTTTGTTCCGCTCTGTACCCATCGCTTCACGATTATCAAAGCACCAAGGATCGATGTTTCTGCCGTATCGATGCTGTACAGGATCTTGCGTAAACATTTGGACCATCTCCACAGTCTTAGTCGCTATGTGGAGATAGCTGTCTGCGGCATGCACGAATGCACTATCTTTGTCAGCGCGAAAGTTATATGCACGGAGTTTATGATCGTACCTAGCGACCAGGCACAGACAAAGGACTGCAGTCGATGCTCTCAAAATTGTGGGTTTCGGGCTTCGCACATGGCAGTTGCTTTTCGTGCCGCGTCGAAGAGGCCAGACACACCATTGTCGCGACAGCTCCCATAGAGACAAATAGTCCGCATTGAGCAGTCTGATGAGAAGACTGGTGTGGTACGAGGTCGGAAGGCATTTGTTCTGGTTCGGTGATATAGAAGCTTTTGCGAGTCTCTCCGCGGCGCAATAAGCGTAGATCGACATAAGAGCACCCACGAGGGCGAAGCTGATAGTGGACGATAAGGAGGATACGAATACCAGTCTAGTAGCCGAAAAGTCGACGTAGTAGTTGGAAGACGAGGTGACGTTGACTACAGGAGACTCGGGGCAGATTTCTTCGTGCGGACATTGCAAGTAATCTGCGAGATTATCAAAGACTAACACCAGCATTACCGCGGTGAATATGAGCATCGGAATAACCACGATGGAAGACGCGAGAAGGATGTGTTTCGTATGGGGTTGCAAGGTGAATGAAGGCATGTTGATGAGGGTTATTGAACAGGCAAGACAATTCGGCATTGGTGTCTTGAGATAAGAAGAGAGATCAACTAATCTTATGTAGCGTATGGTCTAGAGAAATGAAGTTCGAGAGAACAAGTCAGTCCCGCTGTACTGGGTCACAAGTAAGCCCCGATGCTGTACGCTTCAACTTTCGCATTGCCAAGCGTGACCTCGTTTGATATAATTCACGTGGGGGCCGTCTGCTCGCACTCCAGAGGAGCAATTCGTACGATCGGTATAGACATGTAACGTCGTTCGCCAATGGAGCGCGGAGACATCCATATTTTCAGGTTCGACGTCGTGCAAATGTTAACACGCGGGGGCTGCGCGCTTCGTTATCGAGCAACAAGCTGGGCCTCGGGGATGTGAGAGTGGCGCAGCACACTTTTCATGTAGGTACATTTTAGCCATATTAAGGCAGCCCTGGAGACCGTTTTTCTGGGAAAGTTGGCCAGCACACTTTCAACCCCAAGATGAAGGAGATAAAGGCGGTAGCCAGTAGGAACCTTGGAAGGTGTTGAGGCGCAGATTAGAATTGGGCTGTGTCTTCAAGACTGCACTGGTGATTGTCAGCCCCCACAACTCTGTGATGCCGTGAAACGAGACTATCGCTCCTGGGAGTCGATATTTTGAAAGGTCTGGCCAAGAGTGAGAACGCACGTCCAGGGGTTTGGGGGGGCGCTTCTCCCCCGAGCAATATCGCGACAGTCAGCATAAGGGTTGGGGGTCGAGATCGAATGGCAAGCAGAATGAATAGAGTGCGTCTTTGACTCAGACTTTTGTCTGGTACTGGTTCGGGCTGGTCATTGAGATTGTGCTTTGGTATACGGTATGATTGCGATGGCTTTGATGTTGTTCGCTGGGGTCTGGTGACGTCATACCCCTTGCGGCTGCGGAATGAGGAAGCCGTCGCAACATCATCGAACTCTTGCACTTTCCTTTCTTCTCAGTGGCAATAGACACCTGACCTCATGATTCCGATCGCGTAACTACCAAGGTGTGACTTGCTCACGACTGAATCCGACCGTCACGACATGCGTTCAGGAGAAGAGATGTCGGGCCCAGTGTTAAGAAGACTACACGAACAGAACCAATTTTTTCGCATTGATCGTATCGAATAAATCGTCGTACCGGAATATCTCCAAACGATTGGACTTTCGTGCTAGACTTGTACCACTCGTAATGTAGACGACGAAAGCCACGAATACACCGCCCACCAATCGACGCAACCGCTATCCAAGTACCAAAACCCGAGACAGCGCACTAACCCCAAGATAGTCTCAACTACAACTGAGGCGTCAGCACATCTTTCTCAGAGCTTAGATAACAGTCGCTAGTGTTCCATAACGTTTCGGTGGCGTACCTCACTGCCTAGGCATTGCAGGTACACCGGCAAGTCTCCCAGCCCCACACACATCCTCCGCGATCTTGATACCAACCGACCGAACGAGGGCAGCATCGCTTACCCCCTGCAGCATTCAAGCAGCGATTCAGACAGTCCCTTCCCCAGTTGCGCTCACAGCCTCCGCCCTCCCAGCTGATGCGTCGGCCTGGACAAGCTTGAGCAGTGGTAGCATCAGAGAGGATTTCGGCGGGCATTGCGATTGTCGCGGCCGAGATCGTGAGAAAGTTGATGAGGAATGGGAGGATATGCATTTTTGGGAAGTGTTCAAGTTGATTTTGGGTAGAACAGTACCTAGGTAATAGCGATCTGAGGCATGCAGGCGCTGGATGGAGACTTATATAGAAGTCCCTCATCGCCAAGAGACGAAGATACTAAGACTTCCGCTTGATCATGAGATGAATACCAAGCAGCGTGTTACTCTCATGGTGGCATCTCACTTCGTAAACCTTACGGTGTGGAAACACAGGAAGTCACTCTCTAGACAGATCAGTGGCTCTGAAAAGCGGGGTTGGAAGCCACATATGACCTTCTGCAACGATTGTTACCCGTCGAGCGGCTACGGGCGTTGCAGACGTACTTTAGTTGCTAGAAATAACCAACAGGCTATCTATATGCCCTCCCAGGCTTGCCATTTCTGCTCTACACCATAGTGTCATGGCTCACCGGAACCTGGGCATTTGCTGAGGCACGTTCACTCACTTCAAATCCACCCGCGCTCCTTCCTCAAGCAACGCCATAAAGACATCAACCCAATGAAAAAGATACGGAAGACGAGTGGTATAGACACACTGTTCAACAGCAGATATGGGGCTTGCATCGTAGACAGCCATAAGCCATCCGCACAATGTTTCCGCCAGCGGCACGGGGGCAGACCTCCGCGAGCTCCGCTTTCCCCAAGACTGACAACGACAGGAGCGCTCCGGGGCGCAACGTCGCATTCATAGCACAGGCAGACCAGCCCGCCTGTGCCAACGAAGGTTTTAGGCCTCCGACGAGCGGGAACTTGCTGTTGACAGAAACGAGTGACCACCGACATACCTGTTGTCGAAGTAGTGTCGTGTAGTAGCCGCTTGAACACGCGAGGGGCCGGTTTCTTGCGTTCAAGGAGCGTACTCATCCAAGTATTGAAGGGTTGGACGCGGCGGGGCGTCGAGGCCTTTCATGTACTGCATTGTTGTGCTGGTCCAAGCAATGCCACCAGGAAGAACCGTAGGCAAGTAGCAAAGCGACTGCCGCGGTATTGCCCAATGTGAACGGTGTCTGAGTACATTCTGGTGTAGAGCCAGAATTTCCAAGGGAACACTACACGAGGTCAGAGAGGAGGTGAGAGGGGCCCGGTCTATATCTCAGGGCAGCGCTCTAGCGCTAGCGACTGCCAAGTTCGCCACTTGATCGCAGTGAATGTAAGTGACTGCCTAGGAACCCAAGTGGAGTGACGCGTCATGGACTGCTCATCGCCCTCGCGGTGCGCTCATGCAAACGCACTCACCATGCACATTAGCAGATGTGATGACAAAGGGAGGCTGATCGTGACCCGAAACGCCTACATAGCCCTTACAGTCTGCTTTGTACAAACGCATTCACGGTTCACATGCATGTCTATTAGTAGACATGATGACAGACTGAGTCTGTCCCACACCACTTGGAAGCCAGAGATAGAGGGAATGTCTTCTAGAGGTGACCAGAAACGGAAAGTTGCGCCATGAATACAAAGAAGATACCTACTTAATAACGTTCTACAAATCGACCGGGTAACGTTCCCTAAGTCTCTCACCAAAG